AGGCACACATGTACATACACATCATGCACATGCACATAGGTCCACGCGTGCGTGTACACATGCACACACACAGACACACACGTACATACACATCATGCACATAGGTCCACACATGCATGTACACATGCACACACACAGACATGTACATACACATCATGCACATAGGTCCACACGTGTGTGTACACATGCACACACACAGACACATGCGTGTACACATGCACACACACAGACACACATGTACATACACATGCACACACACAGGCATATGTACACACACGTGCACACTCTCTGGACCCTCACGTTCTGGAAGTGGACAGAGGCATGTGTGATGCTCCTTTTCTTTCAAGTCCCCACAGAGGTGCTGAGAGGAAGGTGGGGGAAATGACAGGGTGTCGTGTGAGTGGACAGAAGGTCCCTTGGTTAAATTTGAAAGGTTGAACATTTTCATTCTTTATTAACTGAAGAGCTGGTGAAGAAGATAATTTATAAGTCTTGAGTTTTCTTTCTCTGACATTGCAGCTTTGAAGGGTGGTTAGGAATTCTCAGCTGTTAGGATCGTATTTTGTAGTTAGTGGAATTCCACGGGATGACTGAAGCAGGAGGGTGGAAGTGTTGGGGGTCCAGGGTCCCAATTCCCCACCCCCCCTTGTCCTCGTTTGATTACTTAGCAGACCTAGAAAGCTCATCTGAGGCATGGTACAAGTCAAAAGGGAAAGTGGGTAGGAAGCAAGTCAAGCTCGACAGGAGGGGTGAGTGGAGCAGAGTGACCTGCAGGAGTCTCAGTGTGACCAGGAGAGCAGAGAGAGCAGAGGGGAGGCTTAGAGCATGTCCAGGGGCTGCAGGTCAGTCCCTCTTGTGAGTGAGAAGAGGTGAGAGACGCACACAGGGCCCTGCACAGGTGTAAACACCTCCTCCTCTTGATTTGAAATTGGCTGTAAGTTACTGTCTATCTGCAGCTCCACACAGCTTTGTCCTTGTCTGTTGGTTGCTGGTTACCTAGGTTACGTCCCACCCACATTTTCCCCCTTTTCTGGGAGAACTGCTGAGTGCTGATGAAGTGTCCCATAACACACGAGCCCTTCAGGCTTCCTGGTTCTGAGGGCCAGGCTTCCTCCCACCTGCTGGAAACCCCTTTCTCTGTGTCCAGAGTGGCCGTGTTGCCAGTGTCTCAGGAAGAGCGGCTGCACTGTCAGTTTTCCCCAAACAGGTGCCTAGATAAAAGGGTGGCTTCTGAAGTGTGTTTCCTGAAGGGACGGTTCTTGAGGCCCAGGATGGATTTAGACAACCGTCCTGTGTGCAGAGGGCCCAGGGGCAAGGGCAGGCCATGTCGCAGGAACCCCTCAGAGCAGCAGTTTGGGGGTGTTCTCAGGGAGCTGGTCCCATAGAGGATGCCCCCCACCCAGAGCCCAGACTCACCTCCCAGAGGGTGTGGCCTGAGTGCAGGCATCTAGGCCTGCTGTCCTCACAACAGGCACTTTGAACTTCATCAGAGTCAACTTTATTTCTCAGCCAAAGACTGGATCAATTCACTTGCCATAGTGTGAAGCCCTCTTCCCAGCCTGCTCTTCAGAATTCAAAATCCCCCCAGGTTCGGGGGACTCTGAGAGGGATGTTTCCAGATCTCTGCCATGGTGAAGTCTCAGTTCCCAGAATCTAACATGTGGCCATCCAGGAGCACGTAGGATCCAACCAGGGCCACTCTGATTTTAGCTCTGAGGATGCCATTGTCTGCAGAGATGAGGCCTGCGGAGCAGGCATAGCTGCTGAGACTATGGTCAGGGTCCGAGCCCTGTGCACACCCGAGCCGGTGGCTGCAAGAATCACTGGAGACATGGCATCAGGGCTGGGATGGTGGACGGGAGCCTGGTCAGCAGTTGGGTGTGAAAACGGAGTGCATCTTTGACATCAGTTAACAATAACCAATAATAAGCCACAAAGGTTAAGTTCACAGTGTGAATTTTCTATTCATATTTTACCTGTGCGTTGGGATCTGCGGCCAGCACTGATGTCAGCAACTCCCACGCTCTGTCCATTTAGTATTCACTGTGCGTCCCTTTCTCTGGCAAGTGCTGACATCCACGTAGCTCTTTCAGGCTCACACATGACTCAATCCGTGCCTCTGATTGCCCTGATATTCCTATTCTGTGGTGCAGGTGCGTTTTGGAGCCTGAGGACAACTCACCTAAGAGGCTGGGTGCGGAGGACTCACCTCTTTTTGAAATAATGATCACCCACCCCTGGGCATGGCCAGGTCCCTGGGGCTGGGGCTAAGGCCTGATTCCCCTGCTTGTGGCCAAGCTGTGCATCTGCACTGGGCAGTGGAGCCTCGGAGGCCCAGCCTCTCTCTGCAGCACGTGTCTCTGCATCAAGCCTGCAGTAAACAGCAAGTGGGGCTGAGCCGGGCCCCCCGCCCCTTCTCACCCCAACTTCATGATGATAATTGTCTTACTGGTCATATCCACAGTGCCCTGTTCAGTTGGCAGCATCCGGGAAAATCCCTGCAAATTCTGAGGACCGGGAGATGTCACTTGAGAAGACACAGCTGGAAACTAACAAGTCACATCAAAGCGGGACCCTCCCTCCCCACCACAGCCCTCACACTTCCTGCCGCTGGGCCCACAGACTCAGCCACAGGCCTGGACCCCTGACCAGGAGGGGCCAGAGGAACAGACCAGTACGGGGACTCCAGCAGCTTCTCTGTGTCTCCCCTGCTGGATACTTGTTGCCCAAGTGTATTTAAAGCTGGCTATTTACCAAGTGTGTGCATATGAGTTGTGTGTGAGTGTGTGCTATAGCTCAGTGGAAAACATAACAAAAAAAAATGAGATCTGAGCTCCATGCCCTGGGAGACAGGGATATGTCTGTGTCTGTTGTCAATAACAATCTACTTGGTCCAACGATTTCTTTTAACATTAGTGTCAACCTTGTTTTGTGTCTGTCGTGAAAGTTAACGTTAGCAGAGTTGAGAGATGAGGATAATGATCCAATTTCTAGTTAGCACCTAATCAGTGTTAATGGACACTTGGACAAAAACGCAGATACACATATAGGTCTCTCAATATTTAGTAAGCACATAATTTGTGTAGAATATCACAGAATGTGCCTAAAAATTCCCCAGCATTTTTAAAGTGCAAAGGTGAATTCAGGACAGTAGAGACACAGGGACTGCAGAAGCCCTGGCAGGAAATGATGACCCTGGGGCTTGAGATCTAGCAGAAAGAACAACTGCTCTCCAGGAGGCAGGGTGGAGTGAATGTGGAGGAAAGGCC